AGGGGAAGGAAAGGGGAAGGAGAAGGAAGGGAGAAGGAGGAGAAAAAGGACCAGCCTCTGCCCTAAAATCTCCATTGTGCTTTATATATATTACTATATTCTAAAACCTTCAACTCTAAGTTTCCACCCTGTGATATCACTCACTTCTATTCAAACTCCACACCAACAATCCCAGTTCTATCATTCAGTTTTGGAAGCTTCTCCACAGCCTCAGGTCAGTGCAGTGTTATCTTGGGGGTCAGTGCCTGGCAGCACAGAAAGTCTGAAATTCTCAGCAGCCAGGGCTCCAACACAGCCCTACAACTCCTCTCTCCCATTTTGCCACCTTGGAAAACTCTCTTCTCTTGCAGGGCCTGGAACTTCCAATGCTCTGAGCTGCAGAACAAGGCCAGGCTGGCTGATTTTCAGCTGCAAGCCCACAGTGTGAGACAGCCTTGTCTGCACCCTATTTCTCTCCTACATATCCCACAGAAAGTTAAGGAATGCAAGGACTGTGTTCAAGGTAAAGTATTATTTTCTTCCTTCTGTTTGGTCCTTTCCCCCATGTCTCTCCTTTCCCAGGTTTTGAGTCACAGGCTCTCCCCAGGTTTAAAAAGCTGAATGTGTGATGTGGTAGAAATTCAAATAGAACCTGGGATAGTGCAAGGTGTCCCTACCCATGGTGGGAGGGTGAAATGGGATCATCTTTAAGATCCTTTCCAGCCCCCAAGAATTCTGGGATTTTTAAGCCAGTGCATGATGGGACTTGGCACTGCTTTCAAATTTTGCAGAAACATCTGGAATCCGCTGAGAAAATGTCAAAATATTCTGCAATCCAGTAAAATATCTTAAAGAGGAACACAAATCCAGCTCAGAACTGGGAGAGGGTATTTTATCTTTAGTGTTCTTTTTTATTGCCTTAACTATAAAAGCTGCAGGAGTAGCAACAACACTGTGAACATACAGGATCTGCTTCCCCAAAAAACCATGGTGAGACCCTGCCAATCTGCTTAAAAAACAAAAAACCCACCTCAACCACCAAAAAAACACCCATTTCAAATAAGTTCTATCTCACATCTGGAGGTTCTGGTTCTAAGTTGAACTGGGTTTATTAAATTCTTAAAATCTGCCTTCAAAAAGTGGTTTTTGAAGTTTTCAGAAAAGGTTTTCAGTGCTCCAACAGATAAAGCTTATTTTACCTTCCCTTGTCCTGAGCATCCTTTCCTTTAATTTTGGTGTGTTCTCTTGCTTGCTAATACACATTATGGTAAGAAAAACATTTTGATTTTGGATTAACAATAAGATTCTAAGTGAATTTATGATCTTATACTGGCAGAGTTTACTCTTAGCAATGTACAGTCCCCTGCACTGCAACAAACACCACAGTGGATGTGATCCCTGCAGGAACAAGGATTTAATGGAACATGGAATTCTTACACAACTGCAACATTTGACAGTGATTCTAAACCCAAGTGTCCTCTGAAGTGGTTACAATGTCTGAATAATTTTGCAGATAATTCTTAATTTCAGCATGAAGGAAATGCAGGTTTAGCTACAACAGAATTGGGATCCAACCAAAGGCTGCAGTTTGTAAATCCCAGTGTGCAGAGTCCATAACTAGAGACTGGGAATGGGATTTGTTCTGATTTAAGAGCTGGGAGCACTGCAAGCCACTGCTTCTGAAACATCAGATTTTTCTGAATTCTGAAATGCCAGACATCAGGAATTGCCAGGGAGCATTTGTTCAGCATCACAAAATTAAAGCAGATTATTTTGGGATCCTCCCAGTAGGAAATCCAGGAGTTTCTCAGCCTTACCTGCCTGGGCTGGTCCACAGCTTTCTGGGGGTCACTCTTCACCTTGTTGCTGGGGTGGTTTGTGATCTTGGTGACAGGCTGTTTGAAGATAGAGGCTGTCTGTCTCACAGGCAGGGCTGTGTTCAAATCAGGCTTGCCCTGTTTCACACAAAAAGAAAAGGAGAAAGCCACAAAAATGTTTTCAGATTGCTAAAATGCTACTACAGCCACAAAGAAGTGCAGCAGGGAACAGTTCCTGGGCTTCAAATCTTGTCTAATCTCAAGTTATACAAGTTAGGTTGCTAAAAATACATAACTAAATTCAAATCTTGCCTTAGACCTATCAAAGTTTTCCACTCATTCTGTTTAGCATAGCAGCCTCCTCCCATGTGAGCTCACACACATCAGTTTTACTCCCATTTTAAATGATTTTAGGAGTCAGAACAAACCATGTGTAATCACTAAAAGAGAGGATTACAACATAATATTTGTAATAAATAAAAAAATTACAAGCAGGGATTTAGAGGCTGATTTCTGAATCCAGAAACCACTCCAAACCATTCCTTCTAAATCCAGTTGTGACCAATAAACAAACCAACACCACTGAAAGCTGAATCCCTTTTTTTACCTTTGGTTCTGAACAAAGCTCAGCTTTTAAATGCAGCTCATAATCAATTTTGCACTACAGGACTGCATTTTCTGTTAGGGGAAGCATAGGAAGGCTGCTCCTCATTCCCAAAATCCAACACACAACTCTTGGAATGGCTCTAGGACATGCTTTGTTCTCAGGGATGCAAACGCTGTGTCTGCCTCACAGATTTATTCATGAGATGTAGAAAAGATGTATTCAGGACAAATATAATTCTGAACCATCTGGGTGCTAATCCTTGCAGAAGCCAGTGATAACATTTGTACATTTATTGAGAGTTCTGGGCAGAATTTTTAGCCTGAGAGGTGTGTGAGCTGCTGCTCTCTGCCTCAAGGCAGGTCTCAAAATATCCCTGCAGCACCAGGAGTGTAAGAAATGTTCCCAGCACTCTCGTGAAGATGATCCTTGACTGGCTGAGGTATTTCAGAAATGAGAATTGTGCCTTTTCCACATTCAGTGTTTAGGTGCATACACAGCAGCTGCTGGGTTCTGGGAAGGATTTTAGCATCTGATGAAGATCCTGAGGAATGAGTTGGGACAATCAGTCCAGACAGGGAGCCTGACACTGCCATCCTGACACCTCAACAATCTGAATTAGCAGCTAGAGAACCTTTTATTTTGTTCTACAAATAGACCTCACAGTCCTCCTTCCTCTCAGGCTTTTTGCCCCAAATGCCACCTCCCCTTCCATCAGTGCCAAAGCTGGGGCAGCAGCACAGAGCTGACCTCTCCTGCAGCATCTCCTCATCCCTGTGGACCCAAACCCCTCCTCTCCTCTCCAAAGGCAAGGGCAGGGCAGAGCTGCTGCACAGCTCCAGCAATGTGGGGCTCTGGGNTGCCCTGGGGTCCCCAAGCCTGCAGCCCCACAGCTGTGCTGAGAACCTGGGGCTGCCAGCCTGGTACCTGTGTCACCTTCCTGGCTGCTGTCCCCTGGAGCCTGGAGGAACCCCTGGATCTGCAGGAAGCTTCTGGCATGATGTGCCCAGCCTGGCCATGCCACCCTTAGCCTGGCTGCTCACCGGGGCTGTCCCCGTTTCTTTGCTCTCTGCAGGGCACACAGATGATTTTCAACGCGGCCAAGGAGCTGGGGCAGCTTTCCAAGCTGAAGGTGAGGGCTGGGGGTCTCTGAGCTGAAGGTGAGGGCTGGGGTGCTGGGGTGCTCTCTGTACCAGGGTGAGTGCCAGTGCCACTGCTGCCAGGACCCCAGCACTGCCCCTTTGCTGGCTGGGCTGGGCTGGGGCAGCGGGGGCCTGGTGCTGTGCTGAGAGCAGGATCTGTGTCCCCCAGGACCACATGGTGCGTGAGGAAGCCAAGAGCCTGACCCCGAAGCAGTGTGCTGTGGTGGAGCTGGCGCTGGACACCATCAAGGTGAGGGCACTCTGGGGCATTTGGGGTGCCCACGGGGCTCTGAGCCTGAGGGGACCCTCACAGAACTGCTGAGCATCCTGAGGCCTCTCCCCCTCCAGCAATACTTCCATGCTGGCGGCGTGGGGCTGAAGAAAACGTTCCTGGAGAAGAGCCCTGACCTGCAGTCGCTGCGCTACGCCCTGTCCCTCTACACCCAGGCCACAGACCTGCTCATCAAAACCTTCGTGCAGACCCAGTCATCACAGGGTAGGACACGCTGCCCTCGTGCCCCCAGGCTGCCCCGTGGCCAGCACCCACCTTGGCTCTGTCCCAGTGGGCTGGGGGTCCCAGCCAGGCTCATGGTGGGGAAGAGAGGGGGGGGAAGGAAGGGGCTTTTTCCTCCCATGCCTTGCAGGTGAAGAGGGGCTGTGGTGCCCAGCAGCAGCAGCCTGGCACTCCCCAGTCCCCCACCAGCAAGAACAGTGGGTCCCCAGTGCCAGGGCATTGCTGGACTGGCATGGAAATGGGGCCTGTGGGTGGGGGGAAGGTCACCCTCTGGCCAGGTGTCACAGTGTTTGTCCCCTCTGGGTGGCCCCAGGCACCCAGCACTGACCAGTCACAGGGTCCATGGGGTCTGGATGCTGTGCCAGGGCCTGTCCTGGGCGTGCTGGGTGCCCAAGGCCCTGAGCTGGGCTCAGCTGTGCTGGGGTGCAGTGCAGGATGCTGGGCACCTTCCAGGGCAGGATCAGCCGTCAGCTCTAAATGCTGCCCTTTATTCTGTCCCTTGGCTGCTCAATGGTGGTCACAGCCACCCTAAGGTGCCCCAGGCAGGCTTGTCTGCGTCCTGGGGAGTGGGACGTGCGTTTGCTGTCCGTGAGTCTCCTTCAAGGGACGTCTGTCCTGTCTGTGCCTCCTGTGCCAGCCATGTCGGGGGCGTGGGGTTGGGTGTGGTGGGTGCCAGCACCCCTGGGTGTAGCCTGTCCCCAGGAGCCCACACTGGGAGCTGGGGGTGCCTGGCACTCCTGTGTCGCTGCAGTGTTGTCCGGGTGCTTGGCCGTCAGTCTGTCTGCGAGATCTGATCTCTCTTTCTCTTTGTTTCCCCCCTCCCTCACTGTTCCTGTTCCCCACACATGTCATCATCTCCTTCCTCCTCTCTTCCTCATCTCCTCTCCTTCATCTCTTCTCTCCTCCCTTCTTTTGTATCTCCTCCCTTTTCTCTTCGTTGTCATCTCCTTCCTCCTCCATCTCCTTCCTCCTCTCTTTGTGTACTCTGTGCCGTGTCTCCGTCTCTTTCTCTCTCCTTCCCACTAGTTCATGGTGGGAAAGGGATTAGGTTTACCCTTAGTGAAGAGGTTTATCCTGAGAAGGGTACGTGTGCTCCGCCNCACCCCTGTAACCTCACTGCTACAGAAACCCAACTGCCCACCCTGCCAGGGAGCAATTCCTGATTCCCAGTCTCCCACCCAGCCCTGCCCTGTGGCAGTGGGAGCCATTCCCTGTGTCCTGTCCCTGCAGGCCTTGTCCCCAGTCCCTCTGCAGCTCTCCTGGAGCCCCTTCAGGCCCCAAAAGGGGCTCTGAGGTGTCCCTGGAGCCTTCTCCTGTCCAGGTGAGCAGGCCCAGTTGTGCCAGGCTGGCTCAGAGCAGAGGGGCTCCAGCCCTGGCAGCATCTCCGTGGCTCCCCTGGCCTGGCTCCTGCAGCTCCACATCTTTCTTGTACTGGGAATGATCTGGACCAGCACAAGACATTTCAGATGAATCCCTGCAAAGCTCCACCCCAGCATGGTGTGACTCCATCCTGGATGGCCACATCCCTCTGAAGCTGCTGCAGGAGCAGGGCCATGCCCAAAGGGGCTCTGGAAAGGACCTGGAGCTGCCTGGAAACGCTGCTGAGCTCCAGGCCAGGCAGTGCCAGGGCTCAGCCCAGCAGCTGCAGGTGGCACCCACACATTGCCCTGGCCAAGGGGTGCAGAGCAGAACAAAAAATGCCAGACTGGGCTGCAAGTCTCCACCAAAGTGGTTCTAAAGGTCCAAATAAAACAGTCTGAAATGAGAGGATAGAGGGGACAGACCAGGGACACTTCAGCCCCAGCAGCTGCAGCAGAAACACCACACAGCGAACACCAGGGCCTGGGTGAGGGTGGCTCAGCTGCCTTTACATCCCTGAGGGCACAAACTCATCCTGACACCCAATGGCCACACTCTGCCAGCAAACCCCAGCATTCCTGAGGTGTCCAAGTGTCATTCCAGAGGTGTCACCCCCTCCAGTGCCACCAGGCCCAGCTGTGCCTGGGCGTGAGCAGGACACTCCTCCCAAACTCTGCCTCAGCTCCATGCCCTCCTCCTCTTTCACCCTCTCCCCATCCCACAGAGCTCCCATTTCTCTCCACTCTGCAGAACTGCCCTGGCTGAACCCATCCCAGCTGCCCTTGGATGGGACAGGGTAATTTCTGACAGGGAACAGAATCCAGGGAATTCTCCCCAGGATAATGTGCTGATGGAGGCAGGAGAGGCAGCTGCTCTCCCTGGACACCCTCACTGGGCATCACCACAGCAAACCTGGCTCTCTGTGAGCAGCCCCAGGCACATCAGGGCTGAGAGCACTGCAGGAGCCCATGAGGAGCAGCACAGCCCTGGGAGAGGGCTGGGCAGGGCCTCTCCATCCATCCCCTGTGCTCCAGGGATGGATCCACACAGCTCATCCACACCTGACCCCAGCACAGCGCAGGCAGCCTCTGCTCCCACAGCAGGATCCTCCTGCCATGAGGACAGAGCAGCTCATCCCCTTCCAGAGCACATCTCTGTGCCACCAAGGGGCTCTGTGCTGGCAGTGCCAGCTCTGAGTGATAAAACCCAAAAAGCACCAGCAGAGCTTTTCTGGAGCAGCCTCTGATGGCAGCAGGCAGGATGGTGTCTGTCACAGGAACCCTCTGGTGCCTCAGCCATGGCTGTTCCTCTTCCCCAGCTCTGCAGCATCTCCTGATCCACATTATCCTGGGGAGAATTCCCTGGATTCTGTTCCTTGTCAGAAATTACCAATGTCCCACCCCAAGGACAGATACAGAGTTCTGGAGCTCCTGGTCCCCTTGGTCCCCAGAGGATGGCACAGGACAGGGGCCAGGTGTGGAGAAGGAAATGCTGCACCCCCAGCACAGCTCCTCTGCCCTTGCTAAGTGCTCCCAAACTCAGCACACAGAGCTCAGCCCTGCTGCAGGAATCCAGCACATCCCACCCTGGCTCCTTCTCCAGACACTGGAGAGGGGCAGGGAGGCTGGGCTGCTCTCCTTGGCACACAGTGTGCAGCCAGGGCCAGCTCTCAGATGCACAGGCAGATCAGATCCCTCAGCAGCCACATCCATCTGTGTGACCAAGCTCAGGAGCTCCCAGCTCTGCTGGGACCCAGCTGGGAGGAGGCAGCCAAGGAAGATGGGCCAGGTGCCTCCAGGGACAGGGCCCTGCCAGGAGACAGCAGAGAGCAGCAGCCCAAAGGAGACAGCCTCTGAAAGGAGAGGATTCCTTGCACCCCTGTGAGCCATGGTGAGGTTAGGGGTGCCCAGGCTGGCCCAGGGTCACCCTGTGCATCTCTCAGCACGGGAATGGCAGTGAGGAGAGGTGCCATGTGCCATCATCCCTGGATTTGCCCTCTGAGCATCCCAGCATCTTCTATAAACAGCAACTTTCCTTCTGCAGAATTGTGACAGTCCCCAGGTGTCACAGATGGGGAGAGGAGCTGTGGCTCCATCCCCTGGCAGGCACCTGGTGGACATGCCCCTCCAAAGCTGGCACAGCAGGAATCCACAGCAGCACAGTGCCCAGTGCCAGAGTCAGGGCAGCTCCAACCCTGCCCGTGCTCCTGGTGACCCCTGTTATCCCCAAGGCTCTCTCTGCTGGATGGCAAGAGGAGCCCACACTGCTCCAGTTGGTGCCACGGCACTTAGTGGAGATGGTCACTCCCACAGCAGGAGTCAGGAATGGGCTGGCACAGGCACAGCCAGGGAATCCCACCAGACCCGTGTGGGCAGGGGAAGAGGAGCCCCAGGTCCCAGCTGGAAGGGGAGCCCCAGGTCCCAGCTGTAATGAGCAGCCCCAGATCTTGGCTGGCAGATGCTGCTCCGTGGTGCCACTGATGCCAATCCATCCCCGGCTCGTGATAAACACTCCTCCAGCTCAGGGAAGAAAATGACAATCTGATTTACAGAACAAAGATTTACCTGATGGGCTGCTGCTGCTCCTGTGTGAAAGGGTTAAATTAGGGCATCTGAAGGAAAGAAACTGAAGAAAAGAAGTAGGAGAAGTTGTGTCCAAGTGCCTGCACAGTGTCCCATCCCAGCCTGCACAGGACAGGACAGGACAGGACATCCATGTGCTGGTCCTGGCTGCCAGGACCTCCCTGTCCCCACGTGCCACAGCAGCCAGGTCTGGGCAATGCAGGACAGGTCCCAAAGAGCCCTAAAGTGAGATCCTGAGCCTTGTCCCGACTCCAGCCCCTTCCAGGGCACCCAACACGCAAATCTTCATCCCTTCCTATGTTCCAGGCATGGCAGCACCACAGATTTCTGCTCCTTGGGTCACGACTAGGCTGGGCAGTGAGGGAAAGACAGGAGTGACAGGGACATGGTCTGGGTGACCCAACCCAGCCCTGCAGTGTCACCAGCAGGGCACGCTTTGTCACCACGATGATGATGGTCCAGCCAAACACCCCAAGGCTCAGCTCTACAGCCTGACCTCACTGCCACGGGGCTCCCAAAGCTGAGGGAGACTCACAGGGGGGCCATGGGAACCAGAAGGTGTGGAGGGAGAGGAGCACAGGGTGAGTGAGAAGGGCTCTGCTCGTTGTGAGCCCTGAGGAATAAACTCAGCATTGCTCAGGGTGAGTGAGAAGGGCTCTGCTCACTTTGAGCCCTGAGGAATAAACTCGGTATTGCTCAGGCTACACCTGAGCATCCCTGCTGTAATCCAGCTGCCAGAGGCAGAGAGCAGCTGGAGCACAAAGGCACTGCTGCCAGCCCCGTGCTGCCCACTGCCCATCCCACGGTGGGACCGAGGGTGCTGAGTGCCCCTCCTCAGCAAATACCCAGACTAGGGGGTTCCCCAGCATCCCGGCAGGCCAAGAGCAGGAGAGGGGCAGCAAACACAAAGGGAAACCCTGGAGAAGGGTGAAGGCTGTTCCTGCCCAGGGGCTGCGGCTGCAGCAGGGAGCTCCAGCTCACAGCCGGCCCCAGTTATCTCCAGCACCCTCCTCAAGCCAATATAATAATTTCTTCGGCAGTATTTTTAAAATAAGTTTCACGAGCTCACGGAGCTTAGCGAGCACCCAAACTCCACCGAGGTACCTGGCTGTGCCCCGAGCTCCTCGGGGTGCTGGAGGGGCAGCACCGGGGTCTCACAGCACCGGAATACCCAGGGCAAGGCAGGCACGGAGCGNTAACCAGCTCCAAGGACCAATAGCCCAGGGATGATCCCTGTTGCCACTCAGCCTCCCTGAGGGCGCCTTTGCCAAACCAAGGATTGGTGTTAAATGGAATTGCAGGAGCACAGAATGCTGGAATATCCTGAGCTGGAAGGGACCCTCAGGGATCATTGATCCCAGCCCTGTCCCTGCACAGCCACCCCAGCAGCCCCACCCTGAGCACCCCCGGGAGCTCCTGCAGCTCTGGCAGCCTTGGCACCATTCCCTGGGCAGCCTGGGCAGTGCCCAGCAGCCTCAGGGGGCAGAACCTTGCCCTGAGCTCCATGCCAAGGCCTGGCACAGCTGCAGCCCTTGCTGGGCTCCTGTCCCTGTGCCAGAGCAGAGCTCAGCCCCTGCCCCTGTGCCTGCCCTGGGGAGGAGCTGCAGAGCTGGGGCAGATGAGTCCTGGCAGGTTGCACAATGCTGACAATTCCCAGGCATGGGAGGGATCAGGGACAGCCAGCACAGCCCCATGGAGGGCAGAGCCATCCCTGTCTGGTCCTGTGCCCTTTCCTGATGGAGTGACTCCATCAGCAGATAAAGGGGGAGCTGTTGATGGCACCTACCCGGTGACAGTCCATCAAAACACTTTCCCCAGTAAATTGGGTTGCTGTGGATTTGATGAATGCAGGGCCCTGATGACCTGCAGAGAGAGCTGGGGCTGTTCCTGGGCTCTGGCAGAGTCCTGCTTGACCCCTGAAGCAGGACTCTGCCACCAGGGTCAGCCACCAGGCATTGCTGGAATCATGGAATGGCTGAGGCTGAAAAGGACTTTAAAGCTCAAATCCAACCTCATCCTTGTTCTTGGGCTCTTGTCTTTTCCCAGTGATCATTGATGGATACACCATTTAATGAGGTTTTCTACATTAATTACCTTTAACCATCACAGTTTCACATGGGCTGGGTGAGAAGGAGCAGAGGTTCCCTGGGGTCAGGGTAACCCAGCCCAGGGAGGTGCAGGGGAGCAGAGCTGGAGCTGCAGCCCCTGCAGGAGCCTGGGCAGAGCAGGGGATGTGCCCTGAGCTGTGCTGGGGCTGCAGCAGCTCCTGCAGAACCTCAGGGATCCATCCACGGTGGAGGCTCCTGCAGGGCTGGGCCATGGCAGGAACCCCGGGCTGGAGCAGGGGGAGAGGAGGAGGAGGAGGAGGAGGAGGAGGAAGGAGCAGCAGAGACAAGGGGTGATGGACTGAGCACAACCCCCATTGCCCTGCACAGCTGTGGGGGAGGACGTGGAGGATTTGGAATGGAAGTTGAGCCTGAGAAGGGAGAGCTGGGGGGAAGATGTTTTATGATTTATTTCCCATGATCCTCAGAGGAGTTGATTAACAATTTAAGCAGTATAATAATTTATGCACCAGCTGCCCACTGCAAGCAGGACAATAAATACAGTCCATGAGGGAGCTGCCCTCAAACCTTGTTCAGAAAATCCAAGTGAAGCTCTGAGTGAGCCTGGTGGCCTCATGGTCTGTGAGCTCTGGGATGCAATGCTGGGCACTGGAAAACCCAAACCCACCCCAAGGGGAAAATGGAATCCCCCCAGCCAGCAGAGCCTGGTGTAACCAAACTCCTTTAATTCTGGAGAAGAGAAGGATCAGGGAGAGCCCAGAGCCCCTCTCAGTGCTTAAGGGGCTCCAGGAGAGCTGGGGAGGCACTTTGGGCCTGCAGGGACAGCGCAAGGGGAAATGCCTTCCCAGGGACAGGGTTGGTGTTACTGGTCCATCTTCCCTCCACCAAATCTCCCCTCAGTCCCAGAGTGGGAAATAGCTGGGTAATTGAATTTAAAGTCAAGTTCCTCTGAGGGGCTCTCATGACACCTCATCCTACCACCTCCATGCACCTCTCAGTCCTAAGGCTTCCAAAGCTGTGATAACTCAGGACACAGCATTTTCATGGGATTGGTTCATCTGCTGCTGAAATAAATCCTGTTTATGAGGAAAGGGGAGGTTGGCTTCAGCAGAAATTGCAATTCCTCGAGGAATGCCTTGAGAGAGGATGCTGTGGGACAGGGTCTGACTGGAGCTGCACAGGGGCTACAGGAAAGAGTGTGTAATTCTTTACTCCTGCTCAAGAGAAGCCCAACTGTGATTTAACCAAACCTTTCAGAAATGCTCTGTTCCAGCTGGTGCCATTAATGCTGCCAGCACTCCTGACCCTGACAGGCTGGGGAGTTAAAGCCTGATGGCATCAGCTGAGCCAGGTCATTGCAATAAATCCAGGTAGGTCTGTCCCAGCCTGCTGACCACCCCTTCTCTGGGGGCCAAAGAGCTGCTCACTCCTCCCTCCCTCCCTGAGCTCCCTCCCAGCTCCTGCAAACAGCCTCAAGGCCACAGTAACATGCAAAGATCTCTTTTAGCTTCAAAGGATTAAAAAGTGGCCAAACAACCCAGTGAAAACCCAAAGGTGCTGAATCCCCACCCTCACAGCCTCCCCAAGCTCCAGAGGGGTCAGACCTGGAAATGGGGCAGTGGCAGCAGCCCAGGGCAGGCCAGGCTGGGGGGCAGCCAGGGAGGGCCAGGCTGGGGGGCTCAGGGGTGTGGAACCCCCCAGGGGCAGAGGGAGGTGCTGAGGGGCAGCTCACAGGGGGGATGAGGCTGGTGTGCCCCAGGGGCTGCTCAGGTCCCTCCCCATTGGTCCTGCAGCCTTTGAGGGGGCAATGGGGAGATGGGGACAATGGTGGGGTGGGGACAATGGTGGGGTGGGGACAATGCTGGCACTGCCCCAGGGTGGANACGGCGATGGCAGTGCCATCAGTGCCATGTCATGGGGAGTGCCAGCCCCGGGCTCCGTGCTGAGGGCAGCAATACCGCGGGAGGCACCAGCCTCAATCAGGGCTGCCTGTCCTTCCCCTTGTGCCTCAGTTTCCCCGCGAGGCCCTGGCTGGGTCTGGCTGTGCTGGGGGTGAGGGCGGAGGTTTTCCCAGCCAGGAGGAGGAAGAGGAGGAGGAGAAGGAGGAGTCTCTGGGGACGGGCGGTCCCCGGCCTGGTGCTCGGTGTTGGGCAGGCTGCTGGCACGAGTCGTGAGGCTCCTCCTGGTCGGGGTGTGACCCTGGGAACCCGGACTGCTGGTTCCCTTCTCGGCATCGCTGCTGGGTCCTTGCATGGCTTTGACTGAGCAGTTTCCCTCTGTCCTCTTCTGACCCGTCTGTGGCTGTGGGGTTATGCCCCTGGGGGCAAGGGAAGGGCAATTCCCCCCTGCAGTCCTGTTTCCACCCCTGTTGTGACCCAGGCACCTGTGCAGGAAGAACAGTGGGAGCCAGCTGCTGGGTGATGGTGCCAATTCCTGCAGGGACAAACACCCTTCTGCTGTCCCCCAACACCTTTTGTGTCCAACAGCAGCATTTGGGGAAGCCTTGGGGGCAGCCTGGGGCTGAGTGTCCCCTCAGATCTCATGAGGACCTCGTGGGAGCCCCATGTCCCAGCTTTACTCTGGGGGACAGAGCAGTGTCAGCTCTCTTGTTCACCCAGCACCCTGTGCCAGGCCCAGAGCCCCTCCTGGCAGCCCTATCTGGCTGTACCTGTGCTGCTTGTTCCTTCTGAGGCTTCCCAGCCAGCTGACTCTGTGCTCCCCCCTCCTGACCCCAACAATCCGTGCTGAGAGCTGAGTTCATCCCCCCCCAATGGCACTGTGGCTCATTTCACACAGTTCCTCCTGCCTGGGCCAGTGTGGGACTGAAACTGGGCCAGTGTGGGGCTGACACTGGGCTCAGCCCTGCACAAACCAGAGCTCTGCGTGCCCAAGCCAAATCCCAGCTACTCCCTCCCTGCTCCCTCCCCAGTGCTGGGAGCACCTGGCAGAGCTGGAGCAGGATGTGTGGGGGCACCAGAGCCTGCCCACACACAGCTGGATCCTGTGTTCCAGCAAGGATCGTCCCTCACGGATTCAGCATCTCTGTATCCCAGCAAGGACCATCCTGATAGATTCAGCATCCCAGCAGTGTCCCAGGGTGAGGACAAGTTCTCCAGCAGTGCAGCATCTGCTTTCCAGAGGGGATCCAGCACCCTGATGGCTCCAGGCCCTCACTGAGTATCCCGGTGGGGAGCAGTCCCCACTGGCTGTCCTTCAGGAGCTCCTGATGTCTCTGCCACCTGTGCCCCTGTGTCCTGTCCCACGCTGTCCCCCCACCCCACACTCAACCTCTGACATTGCTTCTACAGGGCACGCTCTTGAGAAAACATGGCAAGGGGACAGAGAAGGTAAATAGCTGTGGGCTCCGTGTGTGTCACACCCTGGGGCCACGCCCGTGGCCTCACACCCGCCTGCTCTGCAGGTCCGGCCTTGTCCGTGCTTCCTCTGTCGTGCTGTCTGGATGTGCTGTTGCCTGCGTGGTGTTGTGGTGAGGTGTGTGCTGTGCTGTGTGCTGGGGACAGCCCCAGCTCTGTGTGTCCCTGGGCTAGGGAGTGGGGGCTCTGTGGTGTTCAGTCCTCATGGGGCAGGTGTGGGGAGTCACCCATCCCTGTGGGGAGCGCTGCCCCACAGCACTGCCCCACAGCACTGCCCCACAGCCCTCAGCTGCCTGGTGGGACAGCAAGGGCTGAGACCCCGTGGGAAACCCTCCACACACCCCCACCCCACTGTGGGGGGCTCAGGAAGAGGGGACCCCCCCGTGCTGGGCCTTTGGGATCCCCCGGATCTCTGAGCCCGCTCCCCCTTCCTTGCTGAGCCCAGCCCTGCTCCAAGGGCCCTCTCCAGCCCATGGGCTCTTGCCCTGCCTGGGGCTCCTCACCACAGGGTGGGGGCCCAGCAGTGAGCCCAGCCTGCTCCCCAGACCCTGGTTCTTGCAAGAGCCATGCCAGCATCCATCTGGGCAATGCCTGCAGCTCCCCCTCCTCTCTGGGGGACACTGGCTCCTGCCCAGTTTGCTGGGTGTGCTGGGGGAGCCGATTCCCTCTGGTCCCCCAGCCCCAAATGGGGTGCGGAGCAAACCTCAGAAGAGACCTGGCACACTCACCTCAGCTCCACCAGCGTGGGCAGGGGCTGAGCCTTTGCAGCTGTGACCTGGTGCCCATCCAGTGGCACCAGCAGAGAGCTGGGAGAGCCAGAGGAGAGCACAGGGCCAGAGCCCTCCTGGCCAGGGGATGGGGGGGCCTGGAGCCATGGCTCAGTGCTGCTGGGGCCACCAGTAACTGTCCCTTGCTCTTCTCTTCCAGAGCAGGGTGAAGCTGCCCAGTCACACTGAAGTAAGGACATGGCTCTTCTGCTCCCCACTTGCACTGCTCTGTCCCCTTCCCTCCCACTGTCCCTTGTCCCTTGTGCTCTGGGCTGGGGGCTCCCAGCTCAGTACAGGGTCCTGTCGTGCTCTGTTTTGGGGACAGCAGTGTCCCCTGCTCCCAGCCTGTCCACGGACTGGGGGAGATGGGAACAGCGAGGGTGGAATTGATGGGACAGAACTGGGTGGGCAGAGGGGTGGGCACAACGGGTTAATGGGGGCATACCAAATGTGGGCACGGAGGGGGCAGAGCCCTGTAGGGGTTAATGGGGGCATACCAAATGTAGGCACGGAGTGGGCAGAGCCCTGTAGGGGTTAATGGGGGCATACCAAATGTGGGCACAGAGGGGGCAGAGCCCTGTAGGGGTTAATGGGGGCATACCAAATGTGGGCACAGAGGGGGCAGACCCCTGTAGGGGTTAATGAGGGCATATCAAATGTGGGCACGGAGGGGGCAGACCCCTGTAGGGGTTAATGGGGGCATACCAAATGTAGGCACGGAGTGGGCAGAGCCCTGTAGAAGGTACTGGTTAATGGGAGACGTGCTGAGGTTCCTGTGTTGGGAGGGACTGGAGCTACTGGTGCTGGGAGAGGGAAGGTGGTGGGGGTCTCTGGGCCCCAGTTTATCCATTGCATTTGCACACTGAAGGAGCTGAAGAGGAGAGCTTGTGCTCAGCCCAGTGAGAGGTGCCAGCCCAGGGCAGTGAGCAGGATCTGCCCATCCAGGGGCTGCTGTGCATGGAATGGCCCCACGGCCCCTGCCATGCTGGGGGCACAGGACAGGCAGAGTTCTCCCAGCTTGGGGAAGGGGCTGGGAGCCTCCCTGNGGCCCAGCTGTGCCAGGCTGGCTCAGAGCAGAGGGGCTCCAGCCCTGGCAGCATCTCCGTGGCTCCTCTGGCCTGGCTGCAGCAGCCCCACGTCCTCCTGCTGCTGCTGCCCAGGGCTGGGGCAGCTCTGCAGGTGGGGTCTCACTCCCACCTCCCCCATTCCTGACCCAAAGCCCCCACACCTTTCAAACTCCAGGCTAAAAAGTGTAAATTCATCAATATTTAAGGTTCCTCCTGACAACCTTCCTGCCCCCAGTGTTTAAGGTGAGACACAGCACAATCACCCACCTGGACTATACATTTTCCATCTCCTGGTCATGGTCCTGCTCCTCCTCCTCCTCTTCTTCTTCTCCTTCCTCCTCTGCTCCTTCTTTCTCTGAGGGAGGCTCCCCATCCCTGGCAATCTCCTCCACGTGGGCCAGCATGTCAGCCATCAGGGCCTCCTCCAGCCTCTTCCTCACCTGCTGCACCAGCTCCTCCTGCTTCCTGCCCAACACAGGCACACCCAACATCAGCCCCAGGGCTGCCCCTGTCAAGGGAAGAGTCCCCAATCCTCCAATATCAAAGCATGGACTGGAAAAGCCCTCTAAGAACTCCATTGTTTAACAAAAAAAAACCCAAAAAACCCAAAAAACCCCACCTGGCATTGTACTCTGACTGAAGATGAAAAACACTTTAAAAATTTCTTCAGTATTTATATTATGTGTCATGGACCTGTTGATTTCGGGCTGAAGTTTGGCTAATCTAGCAGCCAACTTTTTAGCAGCCTAATGCTGATTTTTAACTCCTGCTACTAATATCTAAAGTCAGCCTACCCTGCACAGACTTTCAAAAATGTGACTGGAGGAAATTAAGTTTCAGGCCATTTCTTTCTGTTCATTTTCCTTTTGAGTCCCAACCCTAAGAAGTCAAAGCACAGCAAAGAAGTGATCAACAACCAGTGGCTCATGGGGCTCCTATTTCAGCTCAGCCACAGGACATCAAAGTTACAAACACTGTTTTTCCTGGCCATTTATGTCTCAATCAGGCCCAGAAAAATCATCCTGCAATTCCAAAAGATTTATCGAGCAGTCAAAGCAAGGACTGCCTTTAAACACTTAATGAATGCAAATTGCATGCTGCAGGCCTTTGGTATAGTCAGTTCTCCATTAAAAGCTTAAAGCTGAGTTTGACCAATCCTGATTTAACAATATTTAATTACTACAGCAACCTATAGCAGAATCAGCTGCATCCTTGTTCCCTGTCAGCAGGCATGGCTTGGGTTTGGTCAATCCAGAAATTTTATTTAATTCATTTACAGACACAGAGGAAGGTGAAGAGAATGCAATCCCACACACAGGATTTCTCCAATGCCACCTTCCAAATCACTGTACAGGACTTCTCCAATGCCATCTCTGCACCTTGTTCCCTATCAGCAGGCATGACTTGGGTTTGGTCAGTCAAGAAATTTTATTTAATTTATTTACAGACACAGAGGAAGGTGAAGAGAATGCAATCCCCCTGTATACAGGATTTCTCCAATGCCACCTCCCAAATCACTGTACAGGATTTCTCCAATGCCATCTCTGCACCTTGTTCAAATTTTATTTAATTCATTTACAGACACAGAGGAAGGTGAAGAGAATCCAATCCCTCTGTACAGGATTTCTCCAATGCCATCTCTGCACCTTGTTCCCTGTTAGCAGGCATGACTTGGGTATGGGCAATCCATAAGTTTTATTTAATTCATTTACTGACACAGAGGAAGGTGAAGAGAATGCAATCCTCCTGTACAGGGTTTCTCCAATGCCATCTCTGCTCAGAGGTGCCTCAGTTGAGGCTCTCCCACCTCACTTTTGTAATAAAAGGAAACTTGACATAAAAAGCAAACATAAGCCTGAAACTGCAGAGAAACTGAGCATGGCCAAAATAAAAAACAGTGGGATTTAAGCACATGACAGAGCTTCATGTAACTACTTTTGTCTCCTCTCTTGCTCCAGAGCCATTCCAGCGAATTCCCAAGGCACAGTGTTCCATCAGACACTCAGAAAGAACAGCAAAGCACTGTTTGAGCACGAGGAACCTCGCTCCAGAACAGCAAGTGCTATTTCCAGCTCCTACCTGATGTCTTCATCAGTCACCATGAAGGCTTTGCAGAGAGGCTGGGAGGTGTTGAGCCAGACCCCAGGGTTCTTCTCCACAGCTGCAGAGAGCTGCCCAGTGATGGGCATGGTGCTGGTGTGCAGGGCACTGGCGATGGCAGAGAGCAGAGTCTCATCTGTGCAGCCAGGGCCAACCCCTGCAAGGGGGAGGGAAATCCATGAGCAGCACTGCCCCAGGCAGGGAGCAGGAAATCAGGACAATGGGAATGAAATTTTAATGGCAAAGCACAGGCTGTCAGTTGGAAAGCTCACATGACATAAATCTCAGAGCTAAATGCTTCTAACAGCACCTCTGCAGCTCTCTGAGGGTATTGAAACTTAGAGCAGTTCCTCATTGTTAGAACCAAAAAGATAACAGAAATCACCAAACTGGGAAAGGAGGATGTTTCCATTCTGCTTGAACAAGGCTCAGAGAGCTGGGGGTGCTCACCTGGACAGGAGAAGGCTCCAGGGACACCTCAGAGCCCCTTTTGGGGCCTGAAGGGGCTCCAGGAGAGCTGCAGAGGGACTGGGGACAAGGCCTGCAGGGACAGGACACAGGGAATGGCTCCCACTGCCACAGGGCAGGGCTGGGTGGGAGATTGGGAATCAGGAATTGTGGAATCCATCCCTGGAATGGATTTCCCAGAGCAGCTGGGGCTGCCCCTGGATCCCTGGCAGTGCCAAGACCAGGCTGGGCAGGGCTGGGAGCAGCCTGGGACAGTGGGAGGTGTCCCTGCCATGGCAGGGCTGGCACTGGATGGCTCTGAGATCCCTCCCAACTCAAACCATTCTGGGATTCTGTGTATCAGAAAA